TATACACACCCTTGTGGAACAGCTAAAAGCTGGAAAAGCTTTTGACTGGAAAGCTGGAATTCTGGAATGAAAGTAGACGACTTCAATCCAAAGATAATGCTGACTGGCGTCTGACCCCTGACCCTGGATACACTGTCAGTGACTCGTGGAAATGAAGCAGTAGCAACCATGCTACAAAGAAAATAGTCCTAATTTAATAAACCTGTCACAACTATTCTTTTTTTTTTCCTCCCCAAAACATTCAGTTTGCCTTACTCCAAAATATACGGTTAAGGTAGGTCTACCACCTACAATGGCTCAGACCTGGTTAGATTACCAGGATAATTAATACATCAGTGTTGTCCATCTAAAGATTTTTGTTGGAGATTTAGTTCAATTTTATTTATACAGCATCAAACAACACTGTAAGGTAGACCCTACAATAATAATGTCGGATTATTCACACATATATCAGTTATTACTGCTAGAAATGGCCTTTTGCTGACCACATATTGGAAACTGAAATACAGAAAACAAATGCAACTAAAAATTCAACTCAAAGTGCAAAATGTACACCCCCACCCCCTGATCAGAGGTCACAGAGGTCGCAGACTGCACTTAGATGCTGTGTTAATGCTTTGGGAAGTCTGAATATGCTGCTTAAATCTCTGTGTTATGAATTCTGAGATGTGTTGAATGCACTCTGTGAGAACAGGATGAAGGGTCAGCATGTTTCTGTGTTGCTGTGATACTGTATTATAACCTGGATTACACTGTACTGTGCACTCAGTGATCAGCCTGTAATTTCAAGGATTTGAGTCCACATCCACACCTGGCTGCAGTTTTACTTTAAGTTTTGTTGTTTTTGCATTTAATTTTGTTTAGTTTTGGAAATAAATTGAATTTAGATTTCAGATGTACTTCTCAGCTGGTGCAAAGGTCCGATCTTCAGTGTGGAGTCACAGATGTTTCCCTCATACGTGTTATTTATGTGTATTAGTTTGTTTGCATCCACATTCACTCATTTATTATTGCCAAATAAAGGTGTGGTGATCTTAAATAAAGCATAACTCCTGAGTGGTGCTCAGCGTTTCTTTATTCTCCATCAACCACATTCACCTACACAACTAGAAACACCAAGTAAACGAAGTGAACTGCTGCATTGTATATTTAGCTGTACTTGGTCTTAATTTTGTTTTAGTTCTAAACACTTTCAGGAGAAATGTACTTCAAAATAACACAAAAAGCATAGAAGAGCTAACCTGGAGTCTGGATCTGCAGATTTCCACTGTGTGTTCACAGGGTGGGACTCACAGGGTGGGACTCACCCACTCGGATTAGGATGAAGCACATTTATTATGGGATATCACCATGGACACACACTTTTACAGCAGACATGGTCGTGACAATTTCTAATCTCGTTTTGTTTAGGCTTCTCCATATAATGACAATATATAAAAATAATAACATGATTCTGAAAATGTCCATGCTGAAAACTGGCATGACCCCAACAAGCTTCAGTGTCCCTGAGAGACAAGTACAATAAAAAAATAATCAGTAACTAATTACCAATTACTTCCCCAAAAAAGTAATCCCGTTACTTTACTGATTACTTATTTTCAAAAGTAATTAATTACTTAGTTACTTTTTTAAAACACGATTTACAACCTGAGTAGGTGATAAAGTGATAGATCTTTCAGCCCAATTCTACTTTTTCTGCATAATCCATCATACAAAATGTAATCAAATGGAAAAGTCTCTTTTTTTAACTTGTTTCATTAGTTTTAATCTTTTAACTTTATGCATCAAGCAAACATTTAATTACATGCAACATTCTCTGACTGGAAGAAATTAGTTTAACATTTAAACCTATTTTCTGCACATTCCAGCATATAAAATAAAATATTTTTTGTGTTTACACTCAGTCTTTCAAATAGATGCAAGTAAAACACAGCAGAAAATAAATAAAGTCACAGACTCAGCGGTCCTGTTGCTCTATTTTCACCTGTAAAGCAGGAGTGGGGTAGGCGGAGGGTTACCCTGGTGCAGGTGTGCCGCGGTCAGTGGAAGAATCCGTGAGTTTCTCTGTGAGTTTCCCATCACGTCGTAGCTACTCAGTGCTTGTTGGAAGTTTAGGGGTTTTTTCGCTGTAAAAAGAAGTTTTCTTCCCACGCACAGCGGACACTAATGTTTTTGTCACTTTTTATGGAATCAAACTCAAAGTAAGGTCAGTACTTCCACGCTTTAAACGCTGCACGCTCATACTCTCTCCGCACTCGATATATGATCCATTGTTGATCTGCACACAGCTGTTGTCACGAACGTCGCACTCGCTTACGTCACTGTCATGAGACATTCTCGCAAAAAAATCACGGTTTTAGTAACGCAGCGTTCCTACGGGAAAGTAACGGTAATCTAATTACCGTTTTTGCAATAGTAATCCCTTACTTTACTCGTTACCTGAAAAAAGTAATCAGATTACAGCTGTGTTTCCCTCCAGTTTCCCTCTTTACTGTATTCAAGCCCTGTGTTTTCCTCTGCCCTTTGTCACGTCGTACCTCCTCATGTGCTGTAAGTCGCTCCGTGTTTCTGGTTTCAGTTTTTCTACGCTTCTAGTTTCGCAGTGTTTTGTTCTTAGTTTTATACTCTAGGTGTTTGCTTTGTTTTCTGTAAGTTATATCATGAAGGGTTTTTCCAGCAAATAAAGCTGCCGATTCAAAGTTTGTTTTTCCGTGCACGAATGTCTGCATTTGGGTCCACGTCCTGCCTGCCACAGCACAAACAGTTTCATTGTGTTTGCTGATAAATATAATGGTGGCTGTGTGCCAAAGCCAGTGATACGGGCACCTGCATTAATGACGTTAAACTCGTGGATAGTTCTTTAATGACACGAGCGACTAACAGAGAGTGATATCCAGCGTGACTCTGTGGGGACGTCTGAGCTGACTCGTGTCACACAGGATTAATGTCGCACACGCATTAAATGGTCAGAGCAGCGTACACGGGATGAGCTGGTTTATTAGCATCATTGTTCTAGGGCTTTCTACATGCTCGTCATCTCACACACTGCACCCAAATGTTTAAAGGCACTATCAGAATGGACACTGAAGGAAATTTCCGTCCCGGGTTTCCTCCGTGGCGTGAGCGATAAGCAGAGTTTTGTCCTTTCCTTATAATACTCCTAATTATTCAAAGTAACACTCAGGTATGCCGTTCAGCTGGGTTAGTTACGACGTCGGGAGCAGTTAGGAGAACAAAGTGACAGAAACTGTTCAGGTTGCTTTCCCACAATCAACTCAAAGGTTTATTCATCAGACAACAGCTTATATAGAGGAAAAAGGTTCGTGTGTCAGCATGTTCTCAGTTCAAACCGGTACAGACCAAATAAGGAAACGTCTTCCTGCCTCCTGAGCAAAGAAGTATCCTTTGTGTAGTTTATCTCTTCAGTTACAATTTATGATCATCCCAGCAAAATACACTCCTAGACATAGAATACAGAGTTCTTTCATTAGTGAATTCTGAAACAAACCACCTGGCCTTTAACAAGCCTTTTCTAAAGGATAAGGAAGGGAGGATGGGAGTAAGGAAGTGGTCTCGTCTCTGTGGTATTTTCGACCTTGGGGTACCAGCCTGTGAGTCTTACACATTAATTCTTGGGTCACAGAGAAAGAGAAAAACAACTAGTAAATGGGCCTTATTGAGTAACAGTTTTCCTGTATAATATCACTATAAAACAATATCCTGTAAATGCTACCATGGTATCAAAATATCACAACAGACACCGTATCAGAACGAAAGGGTTTACAAATGCTGATGACAGTAAAATTATGATTTTACTGTCAGGTATTTACAAACCAGATGTTTAAGCTTCCACTGTCAGGAAATGATGAATATTGTTTCTCATATGCAAATGTTCCAGTTGGAGAAAGCACAACTGAAACATTGGCACCTGAGCTGTGAATGCTAATGCAGTCATGCTGCTGTTGTGCAGCTCAGTCCATCCAGTTATAACAAATATCACACTTGTCCATCCGGTTGTTGTTCAGTATTTATCAGCTGATATTGTTTTGGTATTATTAAACCCACGTGGGCCAGCCCAGAACAGAATATGCTGCATAGCACAGGAAAGTAATGCAAACATTCACCGACACATTCAACACAGTGTGAAGTCATTCTGAAGTAGGTCACTCCAATCCGTTATTACCAGCAGAGGGAGCCACAGTGCGCTCCACTGGTCAAACCTAATATTGTGTCTGTTGCTATGGGAACATGTGCTTGTTCTGTAATATTGTTTAATTTGGACCTGAGGACTACAAGAAGATCATTAATGTTATTACCTCCATGTGTGTCTGTGTGTGTCTGTGTGTGTCTATGTAAACCATTGTTTTGAATTAATTCTGATAAAGGATTTTAGATTGGGGTCATGGTAACTACCCATTAAATGTTAGCTTACATCCATTACGGTCTTCAATATCAGCTTCATGATTTATTGGTTGAAAACGGACAAAAAGCCTTTTAAATTCAAAGTTCTGACTCTTAAAATTGTGCTGTGCATTGTCAACATATGGAAAATATCATATCAAGATCATGTGATCTCTCCTCAACAGATCAAGAGCTGCGTCTTGGAAATGCGTAATTTTGGTTAATTTATTACTGTCGTAGGCTTTTGGGAACAAACAAAACAAAAACATGCATGAAGCTACAAAGTTCTTCAGGCTAACATGCTGTCCAAACCTAATCCTAACGATCAGAGCTGGGCTTATTTGAGTGCTTTGAAGCAGTAAAAGTGAAGCATCTTACAGTCCAGTCATCATCATGCTGGTGTTGCTCTGCTGTTCGTTGTCACAACCAGCAGCTCTGCAGTGTAACAATGAAATGAGTAAATGTTAAACAGTACAGTTTTGAGTTGTTATTCTGAGAGGTTAAAGCTAGCTGCCTGGGCTTTGAATACTGGGAGCTAGGAGCAGACATGCTAAAGCACTGCTAGCACATGTGCAGTAAGAACACGTGTGTCACTTGGATTTAATCCTGTTCAAAGTGATTTATTTTGGTTTGTCTTTTTTCTCCATGCATTCCAACTTCAGATGACAGATTTGTGGGTTAATCTTTTCAAGTCATCTTACATTTTACATTAATCTGTAGTATATATATCCTGGGGCAACATACTGAACTCCCAGTTGCTCTCTGATGCATTCATTCATTCATTCATTCATTCATTGTTAGTACTTGTTAGCATGGAAAACAGTGCTTGTGTGATTGTGTGTGATTTGGTGAAGTAGAAACAGAAAAGCGCTATATAAAAACAGTCCACTTACAGCGACACACAGCAGTATGTGATACGTGGGGAACACGTTATAAAGACTGACCAAATTAAACAGGGCTCTTTAGTTACAGTGTCACATGTTTATTAGCTGGAGATGATTTCACATCTTCCCTTTCACAAAAGGTCACTAAGCGCTCGAGGAGAATCGGTCATTTTAGGCAGCACCACGTAAAAAAGAAGGCTTTCAGTTAGCAGACACTACAGCACGGTTGTTGTTTTTTCCGGATCTTTCTGACGCCTGGTCCCACCGCGCTCTCTCTGTGTCCGTCTCCAAGTCCCTGCACGTGTGCAGCAGCTCTATTGCTTGCGCTTGGCTTTGGAATGTGCCCGTGGCTCTTCTTCTCCTTCATGTTGCTGTCATCATAGTCTTCATCGTCCTCAACAATGACCAGTTCAGCCTTGAGGGAACCTTCAAACTCCCGAACCTGCCGGCTCTCGTCCAACGCTGACTGAAAACCCATGAATATGGCTGTGATTGGCTCAGCAGTGTCCAAGACGCTAAGGACTGTGCAAGGAGGGTCATCTCCAGTAAGGGGTGCTCTGTGTCTGTTCCCAGTTTGTCTGTTTGACTGGTACAATGATGGGCGGTAATGTTCTTCCTCACTGATATAATCAATAGCAGGAATATAACAGGGAGTGTAGCTGAAGCGTGTGTGTGTTAGTATTTCCTGGTCATGTGTTCTAAGAGGTACGCAGCACCTGGATGGTTCAGTGATCCTGCTGCTGCTTCTGGTCATGCCACTGGGCTGGTGGCTTGCAGACCCGCCTTCCTGAAGACGGTGACAATTTGTCACTGGATATGAACTACAGTGACAATCTCGCTGGTTGCCATAGTGATCCAGGCGCGTCACACAACTTTCCGTCAGATTGCTTTGCTGGCTCCTGCCTTCATTTTTGATAAGACAGCTGTCCTGGTTACAGTAGTGATGCTCACTGTGTGGGTTTCTTTGGCTGTTTTCGTTGGAGCTAAAGTCTTTGTCTGCTTTGTGTCTTTGCAGGACATCATAGTGTCCTGGCTGCTTCCTGAGGTCATGCTCCTCCACCCTGTTCCAGTTTTGGTGCTTTGCTTGACCATGCATTGTAGCATTTCTCAGTAAATGTTCCACCTCATTGGCCGATAGCTCAGAAACACCATTCTGGCCACGTGATGCCTAGAAGTACAAAAAAACCAGGACTCAGAAACTGAAAGAAATTCAAACACAACAGAAGCTAACATGACGCATTCTGTTTATGTCACTTCACGAGCTACTTGAAAAGGAACATGTACAGCTAAAATGCTTGTTCTTTGTCAGCAGAATTGCTAACAGAAATCTATATTAGCTTGAGATGTTCATGCCAGTGTTTCCCACACACAGGCTTTATTCGTGTGGGTGACTGTTTTGCAGCTAAGTGAGGCCACAGTTCAGGACTGTGGATTTGGAGTTGCTACTATGTGATACAGAACTCAGTTAAGAGACAGTGGATTATTGCTCCTTTATTTATTGTCATAGTTTTTGAGATTTATTAAAATAAAGATTTAAACAAAGGAAAAACCAACTAAGAACCATGCAGATGGTTCAAACAGTAACAGACGACAGTCGGCTGCATCCTTCATTACTGTAGTTTTCTCTCTCTTGAAATAGAGAAACGATATAGTGCATGCCTCCATTTATATTCATCATATACAACAAATCTTTGTTTGCCTTTGGCACCCCAGGTAGATAGCTTTACATTAATCCAGTGTAACATTAGCCCCACCCAGTCCACTGCTCTGTGCCAGTCGCAGCTACTGGGACTTTGGTAAAAATGCTGGTGTCATTATTACCAGTTGTGGAGTATTAGGGTCACTAATCAAAAGTTACAGGGAGCTAATATTCTCATACAAATCTGTTTCAAAGCTAAAATGGAATAAAACAAAGCATGCACCTCCACTGCTTAAAGTGAAGTCAGGCTTTGGCTCAGAATAATAAAAATACCTGCTGAGAGTTGAGTGCACAAACACACTTCTGGACATCATCAGGAACCCTGAGCCCGGTGTTTTGGTGAAAGTCTTTCAGAAGAACATCAGGCGTAGAAAGTACTGAGCGCTCCCCAGTCAGAGTATTTTTAGCCACATTGAGCTGCATGTTAAACAGAGCTGGGACACAGAGGGCAGTTAATGCAGTTAAAGTTTATCCTGATTATCATGACATCCGTCCAGGTGCACAGCACAATCCATGTCCTGTACATTAGTTAATGTAAGTCTCCACAGGTCATTCTCAATGGGTGATACAAATGTATAAAAATAAAGCAGAGGAAAAAGTTCGCTTTGAGCTCTGAGATATGGTATATCTGATATAACATATACAGGACAGTATGTGTAGAACCCAGAAACATAGATGTGTGGTCAAAGATGAAAGAATGTGCACTAATGAGGTGAAAAAGTTACATTTATGTGACTTTCTGATGTCCTTTTTAAAGATCTGTGGAAAATGATGAATCATGTTTTTTGTGCAGAAACTAGGAGTGAGTCATATAGACATCCTTTACTCAGCGTTCTGATACCTGTGCAAAGTTCACAGGTAGATCCTCAAAAACTAGAGCGCACTGGAACGCCAAATTAAAGCAGACATGAAACACTACACACATACAAAGGCTGATTTACAACGTAAAAATCCAGCTGTTACTCATAATCTGTGTGTTTGTAAAGAATTTAAAAATGAGGACAGATTTTCCTGTTTGAGTGAATGTAGCCAAACAATGGAGCCAATTATTGTTAAAGAGACAGACAGTATAAGTGGACAGTATGTCCTTGGTTTTACTGCTGCAGCCAGGGGCAGCACAAAAGGGTTTTCCACTGAGTTATTGGTTCTGTCACCAGTTAGCTAACATAAACCAATGTGGGTTTATTAGCCACAACCAACCAGGCGACGTCACATTCTGTGCTGACAGAAGATGGCGTAAACATCTTTTGAAAGCACTTATTGTACTGTAGCTGCCTCCACCAGTTTGTGAGAGTGAATGAATAGTGGCATTGTAAAGCACTTTGGGTGCCTTGAAAAGTGCTATATAAATCCAATCCATTATTAATTATCAGAACACAGCACTATAAATTCAGTTCTACATTTGCAAACTCTTGTGTATTTCAGTGCTATTGTGTATAACAGTTTTAAATGTATGAATGATCTCACGCTGCCGTGGTGTGTTTGGCTCACACTGTTCACTGGCTGGTGAGGAGAAGGATTCAGGGATTGCTGTGGTTATGTGTAATGGTTCTGCAAGAACAAAAACAGAACTGTTAGCTTGGGTTCATCTTTCGTCGCAACACCAGAGATGTTGCAAATGATGTCACATGACTTACCAGGAACAAAGCTGTTGTGGGCTTCCTAGAAGACACGCACAACTCAGTAAGTATAACAGGTACTAGAGGGAGCACAACACTACACCTGTGTATCTGTGAGAATGTGTGTTTGTATATACCTTGATAATGTCCTCCGGACTTTTCTCCACTGCCTTGAGTCTACTGAGGATAAAACTCTCATTAACGCTGATCATAGACTCTTCTCTCTCCAGAGAATCCACCTCCATTTCAATCCTAAGGAGACAGAGGGGTCAGAGCAGGGTAGTAACAGGGCAGGACATCACATGAGAAACAGTAACCTCTGGGCCTGAAAATGTGGCCAATGTGAAAGTGACAAAAACTGCAGTGCCTCTGAAGGCTATTTGAGGCTGGCAACCTCATAGACTCTCTTGTTAAAATACCCAACTTTACAGCATTAAAGAGCATGTTTAATTTTTGATTTGTTTTGTTTTGTTTCAAGTAGAGCTGTGCGATAGAACGATAACGATATGTATTGCGAAATAACTTTTCCTCGATAGAAAAATTAAACTATTGCGATAGACCTCACCGCTCTGGTCCTCTTAGAAAGAAGAACAGCCAATCCAAATTAAGTTGCGCAAAGCCGAACCAATCACAGCCGCAGCGTCACGTGACTTGTTACGTACAGCACAAGTGCCAAGCTGCACATGTGTATTTGTTTGGGAAGCAGCCAGCCGCCGTGCCGCCCGGATAATGGAGAAAATGAGTGTGCTGACTAGAAAAATCAACCGAGAGCATGACCGAAGGTTACCGAAGAGAAAACAGATGATGGTTCCAATGCCGGAGAGCTTGTCAAACGGAGGAGCCACAGAAGTCCCGTAGTGTGAAGGTATTTCGGCTATTTCAAGTCTGACAAAAAACATTAGCGCGCACTGTAAATTGTGCCGAAAGCAAGTCTGGAAACACAATAAAGCGGTGCATGCTCAATCTCTGACTGGAAGCGCTAATTCGTCATTCGGCTTTTGTCAGACTAAAGTAACTGTTAAAACTGTTTGAAAAGCTCAGCTATACAACAATGTGTCATGATCCTGGGTCCTTTTGACCCAGCGTTTTGTGTTTTCTCTTCTTGTGATTTTGGTTCTGTTCTTCCTCTGTTTAGTGTTTATTCTGTTCTGCCCGTGTGTTCCTGTATCTAGTCCGCGTTTCTTAGTTGTGTCCTTTCATGTGTAAGTTCCTGTTTTATTGTGAAGGTCTGCGTCTTATGTGAGTGTTTTCATTTGCCTCCCTAGTCTCGTCATGTTAATTACTCCCAGCTGTGTTCCCACCAGTGTGTAACCTCCCTGTGTTCTCTGAGTGTATTTAAGTTGTGTCTTCTGTCATAGTAGTTGCTGGTTCGTCTGTGTTGTTTCCCCTCGGTCTCCCTGCATCTCTCCATGTGTATTTCCCCGGATCTCCCTGCATCTTCGTTTCTGGTTTGTGTTGTTAGTTTACCCAGTTTAGGTGTCCGGTTTCATGTTCACCCACCATTGCTGTTTGTACCCACTCCTGTAAATAAATACTCACCTGCACCAGAGCTGCCGCCTTTTGGGTCCTTTCTCCAACTCCACACGGCTTGCCCCGGCAAACCGTGACACAAGGAGAGATTGAGAATTTCCTTTTAGTTCTCAGTTTATTTGATATTGACAAAAGTTAGTAAATTTTGTCTGTTCTTCTGTAAAACAAACTAAGATTTATTTTTAGAATTAATATTTTGTTTCTAAGTGGAATTGACAATTTAGTCTGTTTCGTTTGTTCTGTTTTGGCAGATATCCAAGAAAGGGTCTCCAGTATGAAGAGTTGGACAGCACCAGGGCCCGACATGGTTCACGCCTACTGGCTGAAGAAGCTGACTGCACTCCACGAGCGTCTGGCAGCACAAATGAACCAGCTGCTAGTTAACGAGAGACACCCGGAATGGCTAACTGAAGGCCGGACGGTCCTGATCCCCAAGGACCCCAAGAAGGGACCGGTCCCCTCCAACTACCGACCAATAACCTGCCTCAGTACTACATGGAAGCTCCTGTCAGGCATCATATCGGCTAAGATGAACAGGCACATGGGTCAATACATGAGCGGGACACAGAAAGGAATTGGCAAGAATACCAGAGGCGCAAAACACCAGCTACTGGTAGACAGAACAATCAGCCGAGACTGCAAGACCAGACTGACCAACCTGTGCACTGCCTGGATTGATTACAAGAAGGCCTATGACTCAATGCCCCACAGCTGGATACTGGAATGCCTAGAATTGTACAAGATCAATGGGACCCTAAGAGCCTTCATCAGGAACTCAATGGGGATGTGGCGTACAACACTAGAGGCCAACTCCAAGCCCATAGCACAAGTCACCATCAAGTGCGGGATCTACCAAGGAGATGCTCTGTCCCCACTGCTGTTCTGCATAGGCCTGAACCCCCTCAGTGAGATCATTAACAAGACTGGCTACGGATACCGACTACGGAACGGAGCAGTTGTCAGCCACCTCCTGTACATGGATGACATCAAGCTGTATGCCAAGAGTGAACGAGACATCGATTCACTGATCCACACTACCAGGCTATACAGCAATGACATTGGAATGTCGTTCGGACTGGAGAAGTGTAGTCGGAAGGTAACAAAGAGAGGGAAGGTAGTCAGAACTGAGGGGATTGAACTACCAGAAGGCAACATTGCAGACATAGAGGACAGTTACAAGTACTTGGGGATCCCGCAGGCGAATGGGAACCATGAAGAGGCCGCTAGAAAAGCTGCAACCACCAAGTACCTGCAGAGGGTCAGGCAAGTCCTGAGGAGTCAGCTGAATGGTAAGAACAAGATCCGGGCCATCAACACGTACGCCCTGCCCGTGATCAGGTACCCTGCTGGGGTAATAGGCTGGCCAAAGGAGGAGATAGAAGCCACTGACATAAAGACAAGAAAGCTCCTTACCATGCATGGAGGGTTTCACCCCAAGTCCAGCACCCTGAGGCTGTACGCTAAGCGGAAGGAAGGGGGCCGGGGACTGGTGAGTGTCAGCACCACAGTCCAGGATGAGACAACGAACATCCAGGAATACATTGGGAAGATGGCCCCAACTGACCGAGTGCTCAGTGAATACCTCAGGCAGCAGAAACCCAAGAAAGAGGAGGGAGACAAGGAACCATCATGGAAGGACAGGCCCCTGCACGGTATGTACCACCGGCAGATAGAGGAGGTGGCTGATATCCAGAAATCCTACCAGTGGCTGCACAAAGCTGGACTGAAAGACAGCACAGAGGCACTAATCATGGCAGCACAAGAACAAGCTCTGAGTACAAGATCCATAGAGGCTGGGGTCTATCACACCAGGCAAGACCCCAGGTGCAGGCTGTGTAAAGATGCCCCAGAGACAATCCAGCACATAACAGCAGGGTGCAAGATGCTAGCAGGCAAGGCATACATGGAACGCCATAACCAAGTGGCCGGCATAGTGTACAGGAACATCTGTGCCGAGTATAACCTAGAAGTCCCGAGGTCAAAATGGGAGACGCCCCCAAGGGTGGTGGAGAATGACCGAGCTAAGATCCTGTGGGACTTCCAGATACAGACGGACAAAATGGTGGTGGCTAACCAACCGGACATAGTGGTGGTAGACAAACGGAAGAAGACGGCCGTAGTGATCGATGTAGCGGCTCCAAATGACAGCAACATCAGGAAGAAGGAACACGAGAAGCTGGAGAAATATCAAGGGCTCAGAGAAGAGCTCGAGAGGATGTGGAGGGTGAAGGTAACGGTGGTCCCCGTGGTAATCGGAGCACTAGGTGCGGTGACTCCCAAGCTAGGCGAGTGGCTCCAGCAGATCCCGGGAATAACATCGGAGATCTCTGTCCAGAAGAGCGCAGTCCTGGGAACAGCTAAGATACTGCAGGACCCTCAAGCTCCCAGGCCTCTGGTAGAGGACCCGAGCTTGAAGGAGCCGCTACATCGATCACTACGGCCGTCTTCTTCCGTTTGTCTACCACCACTATGTCCGGTTGGTAAAACACAAAATGCTGGGTCAACGACCTATATATAGATATATATATAGATATATATATATATTTACCAGCTGTTCTTCACAGAAGCAGCCAAGGTGTACTCCTAGTGGGAGGGGAACAATATGAGAACAGCACCGCCAAGGCTGGAAACGGATCAATACTGGTACAGCATATGGGGAGAGGACACAACCCATAATAGCAATGCTCAGTGGCTAGTGAATCCAAGAGCAGACCACAACAACCTCCCTGAACAGGGTCCAGTAACAATCATAGTGGCAGACATCCAAGAAAAGATTAGATTAGATTAGATTAGATTAGATTAGATAGAACTTTATTAATCCCTCGGGTGGGTTCCTCTGGGAAATTCGATTTCCAAAAAAGCACAGCACCGACAGAAGTTACAGAGTTACAGAATATTATATATATATATATACACACACACACACACACACACACATATATAAATACAGAGACAATATAAATAAAATATACAAAGGGGATAAATAGAATAAATAGGAATAAAAAATAAAAATACAAGTGAATTGCACATTTCAAGTATTGAGGTCTATTGCACTGTTGACTATTTACAAAAGTATTGCACAAAAGGTATTGCACAGTGTCCCCAGTATGAAGAGTTGGACAGCACCAGGCCCCGACATGGTTCACGCCTACTGGCTGAAGGAGCTGACTGCACTCCACGAGCGTCCAGCAGCACAAATGAACCAGTTGCTAGTTGACGGGAGACACCTGGAATGGCTAACCGGAGGTCGGACGGTCCTGATCCTCAAGGACCCCCAGAAGGGACCGGTCCCCTCCAACTACCGACCAATAACCTGCCTCAGCACCACATGGAAGCTCCTGTCAGGCATCATAGCGGCTAAGATGAACATGCAAATGGGTCAATACATGAGCGGGGCACAGAAAGGGATGGGCAAGAATACAAGAGGCGCAAAACACCAGCTACTGGTAGACCGAGCAGTCAGCCGAGACTGCAAGACCAGGCTGACCAACCTGTGCACTGCCTGGATTAATTAGAAATATCCTGTCTCAGAGTGACGCTGAAAAACTAGTTCATGCATTTATTACTTCCAGGCTGGACGACTGTAATTCATTATTATCAGGAAGTCCTAAAAACTCCCTGAAAAGCCTTCAGCTAATCCAAAATGCTGCAGCAAGAGTCCTGACAGGGACTAGAAAGAGAGAGCAGATTTCTCCTGTTTTGGCTTCCTGTTAAATCCAGAA